TAGAGGGAGTGAGGGACCTGCCGCCGCAGGTGCCGCCCCTCTCCCTTGGCCGCCCCAAGCACCTACTTGTTAAGCTGGTGCCTGGAGCCGGCCTTGTTCCCGAAGTCCCTTCCAACCCTGATATTCTATTATTCTAATTTTTGAAAAAACAGTATTTATGTCCAACATAAAAGACCTCTCTCACTGCTGGCAATGATAGAAGCTCAAGCGGCTCTTTTGTTGTTAGGGTAGCAGAACCTGATCAATAGAAGATACTGTTCAAATAATTGAAAATTTGAGTACTGAGGCAGTTCTCTAGCCCATGGTCTAAGTATTCAAGAAGGTTCTGGGCATTACATCTGGGCAGAGCCTGCTTCTGGGACAGAATATTTGTTAGAATATATATATATTCTATATATACATATACATACATACATACAGAGAGAGAGAGCGCAGAATCCCCCCACAACTCCTTTGGATGGTCAGAAAGTGACGACGGCTGAACTCTGTATGGATTGTGGTTCATTGTCAGGTATTTTTGCTGTTCTTTGGGTAGGAAGGAAGAGACCTGCAGTAAAGTAAAAGCCTGAGGGTGTCTGAACAAGCTTGAGTGTTGCTTTAGGTATTACTAAGAAAGGTAGGAACTAGAGATTTCCAAACTGTGGTCTAAAGACAGCTGTGATACACAGAGCATTTGCAGGTGGTTGGAAGAGAGCTACTGCAAGGATGGAATTGAAATGCAGAACATGAGAAGAGTGTGATTGACTTTCTTCCAAATGAGACAACACATTTATTGCACTGAAGAGACCTAAATATACATCAATTACTTTCCCATGTAAGCAATCACTGTAGTAGCCACAGAGATGTTACGTGATTACAAGTGGGAGGGGAGGTGGCTGTAACTGGGTGGGCAGGCCTCCACAAGACACACAATTAGTGGTCCACTTGAGAAATCCCAGTACAAACAGAAAAAAAAAATCACTATTTCAAGATATTATTTTAATAAAAGTAAAGAACAAGTTACAGAATCAAAGTGAATTCCTGGCAGATGGAATTCAGCTAGACAGAAAATGTACAGATCTAAAACTTTTTACTCTTATAATACTAGGGTGGTTTTTTTGGCATGAACATGTTAGACCAAGGTAAACTAACACATACAAACAGTAGTGAATTAAATGCTAAAGCATCGCAGTAAGTTATGACAAAAAGAATGGTAAACTCCATCCAGTTAAGTGCAAATGTTATTTGTTTTTGGCAATCGTAGTTGGATTAATCAATCTTAGGAATCAGTTCTAAATCAGCACCAGGTCCAAATTTCTTCACACCAAAATGTGCATTTTGTGCAAAGTGTATTTCTAAACAAGTTTCATAAAATAAATCGTCTTGTAAACATGTTTTCTCATCACATTAAGACAACAGTTACTTGGGATATTTCAAACTAAAATGGATGTGCTGATTTACTGTGTGATACATTCTTTATGTATATATTTCATATAGTCTAAACATTACTACATTCAGAAATACTGAACAAGACACCAATGCATGCCAGTAACAACTCAGATAGTGAATAAGTGACTTGCAGTGCAAAAATACAAGTCACTCAAAAATTAACCAGCTATTACATTGGAGAGATGTGCACTATATTGTTTTCAATACTATTATCTCTAGGTCATTTCCCATATACGGCTTCAATTTTAGTCCACATTACTCTGAAATGGAACAATCCCATGGCAGTTATCAGAGGGGTCCCCGGTTCAAAACTTCAGCATTTAAAAAGATTTTATCTGTAAAGTTACATGCTGACAATTCACTATCAGCTTATTATAAAACACTTTGAAATGATAAGGCTACAACAATTTTCTTTAAAGCAAAGTAACTAGTGGGCTGTAGTAGAGAAAATGAAAAGGGTAGTGGTAAGCAGAAATGAATCCTCTTCCAGTTCTCTGCTACGGGCTACATACAGGCTATCTGGAACCTATTCTCGGCAATGGCTTTTAGGGTAGGAGAGAAAAGTATACACTAAAGCGTGTTTAACTGATGTAAGTTACATCTAGATTGTGAACTATGACTAAAATCAATGATAACAAAACAATAATATAGTTTAGGTACATTTTTTGCAGCCACTCCCTTTTATTTTTGAAAGGCAATGAAGTAACCGTGTAAGACTGGCTTTGACAAGAAGTCTTGTCCCCACACATCTCATTATTTTTCTTTTAAATAACTGGAAGCGGGAGGGCTGTCCATCATGTTAGTTTCCATTAATACCAAGAGGCGCACAAAGCATTTATAGCACTGATCAGGAGACACTCAAGCCATAGTAGAGCTACCAGGGTTTATGTGGTCCCCATGTAGCTCTGATGGAGTCTGTATCTGAGCAGTGCGGAGGGAACACCAATCACAAGTGTATTCCTTGGAAAATGAAGGAATGCTAAGCCATTTATGGAGCTGAGCCTCCCAGCATCCAGGAAGGGTTATGGAAATGATCTCTGTCATACCATGGAGAATCTGTGCCAAGCCATCGTCAGATTTCTGAAGAGCTAAAACCTTGTAAGGACTTCAGCCAACCAGAGAGCATCTTATTCCAAAAATCTCTTTATACATAAGTGAGGCTCTTTATGTATACAAGGGACTCCACGTGCTTTCAGAACAGACTCGTGTGCTTCAAATCATTTTAATGATAGTACAGTGAACAACTAATCCTCTACTGTACTTTTATTTCTACCACTGGTCATTCAGTATAAAAGACAAAGCAGCTGTAATTGAACATCAAAGGATCAAGAATTCCCTTTTGGAAAATGAAAGTCTCCGCTCTGCTTCAACACTTATTTTCAGTAAGCGACTTAGGTAGCAGGACACTTAGCCTGTGGCAACACTCAACTGCACTCCTCGCCGAGTGCAAATCTCACTAATTCACAGACATGTCGTCTGTCTCCACTTGCTTGCCAAAGATTTCATAGCCGAAAGCTGTGGCAAGCTCTTGTAGCACTCAGACTTCATTACATAAAAGCTTTACTAGTACACTGTGCTAGGAATCTTAAAACTACATTTGTACAATAAGTGAACAAAGTTCTTTTATCGTTAACAATTAGGCCTGTTCACTCAATCACTGATTTGTAAAATTCAGCAACTTGTAGTGGGACGCCTGGTGCTTAGTGTGAATTGGCCAACTTCTACTCTACCACCATTTTTGGAGAGAACTGGCAAGAATTTTGGGGTATAATTATCTGGTATAAAGACAATTCATTACCCCCTCATCTTCACTTATTTGTTACAGAAAAGTTACTTTTCAAAAGCAGTAACTTAGCACGTGTCATGGATGTCAACTCAGATGAAGTCACGGTATTTTACATTTAAGGATCTTTTGTAGCAGGGATTTCAGTCATTGTTTCCCCACAATTAACAGTTTAGGCCTTTTTAATTTTAAAATGCCTTTAAAAGTTATCCCAGTCTGGAAATGTTTCCACATTCCTTCCCCCTTACTCCCCGTCAAAGTTCCACAGCAACATTCAAGACAGTATTAGATATGGCTCCTGTACAATCAAAAAGGCTATAAATAGTCTGTTAAAGAAACAATTGCACAGTTCCTCTCGTTACCATCCTCGCTGGCTCGTATGGGTGCTATGTTAGCTTCTTCATTCTGCGGTTCTGCTTGTCAATATTCAAAGTTGTCTGGTCTACAGAGGTGGAGATGACATCAAGAACTTCATCCTGTCTCTCCAGTTCTGTGTCTGTTTCTATGGCGAGACTCTTAAGCTTCTTCAGTATCTGTCAGAAGAAGAGATCAAGAGCTTTCGGTGAATGACCTGGACAAACTTTTCAGTTATCTTCAGACGTGAAGAGCAATTGTAATATGCAAGTTTTAAATAATCAGCTCCTACGTCCATATGTCCAGCAAAACGACAGGGCTAAGATTTCCACCATTTAATATTACAATGCCCCAAAGTGGGCTAAGTGCCTGATGGGGCAAGCAGAGAGAATCTGTCCTGATAATCTAATTTTAGACATGATGCAAGTGGGGCTAGAACAACTGAAAGGACAGAGTGAGGGTTAGAGCAATAAGGTTACACGGTTTCTCAGTTTAGGCATTTGTGCTTCTAGCTGACTCAGTTATAACTGACTCACTTGTGAGCACTATGGAAGTAGAGAGTCTGCAGGAACCATTTGAATGAAGATTGGTAGTGGCTTGACAGATCAGCACTGAGAAGACATCCCACTGAGCAAAAGGTCCCAAGGTGGCTGCAGGAAAAGCGGACAAAGAGGGCACTAAAATGGGAATAGTCAGAGGAGCGAGAGAGGGGTCACACAGTGAAAGACTGTATTGAATACTTGGGTAAGAGTAGAGTTGGTAAAGGGACCAGTTGTTTAAGCATGATGCAGTGAAGAAGGGGGACATGCAGGGATCTGAAGGGGAAGGAGGGTAACATGGTCAGAAGCAGTGGAGCAGGATCATATTAGACAGATGGGAGGGGAAGAACGTGGGTGTCAGGGATGTCAGAGAGACTGCTTTGGGGTCATCAAGATGGGAAATAACAGATACACTGACTGCTACACTATTCCAGGCTACAAGCAAGAGGCCCACACAAGCATTATATTACAAATAAACCAGTTAACACCACACTTAGCAAATTACCACTCCCTCATGTAACCATAAGCAAACTCCCAGCGATCCTGTTCTATGTAGTGTTTGGAAAAGCCCATGAGCATTGTTTTAGATAAGGAAGAAGCCTCTGAGGCTAGGTCTATACTACCCGCCTGAATCGGCGGGTAGAAATCGGCCTCTCGGGGA